CACACACACTATAAAAAAATTAAAAAAAAAAAAAAAAAAAAAAAAAAAGAAAGAAAGAAAGAAAGAAAAGAAAAGAAAATTCCAACATCCATGGGAAGAAAGTATGGGAGGCTATGAAGAGGATTAGAGCGAGTCATCAGGCTGAGGTCAAGCTGTCTGTTACTGGCAACCTGTGAGGTCTCCAGTCATGTGCTATCTACTGTCAAGTGAAACTTACTTTGTCATTTATTGAGGAAAAAAAGAGGAGGGGAGAGAGAACAGAGAGGGAAGGAGGAAAGGACAAATAACTAAAACATCCATTTTACAAAGTGTTTGTGAGAATGAGACAGTATAAAAATTCTTTTAAATGACACAGCGACACACGATGATTCCTGCACCAGTGAAACCAAGCCTAGAGGTGAGAGAAGCATTCCACACATGTGTCTGCCATTAATGAGCCGTGTGACCTTGGGTATCTCCTTACCCACACATTACATCACCTCTAGATCTCTTCTGACTCGAAAAATGGGTGGATGCAAAGCGGTTTCAGTTCCAAACCGTATTATTGGGTTGTCGGAAAAGTCATGATGTATTTTTTCTATGCAAAATAAAATGCTCCTCCTGCCCCAGTCACATTTCTAACAAACACACAGGACATCAGACAACACCAAGTGCTGGCCAAGGAGATCGACCGAAACACATCGTTGATGGAATGAAGCAAGTTGGTACAACCCCTGAGAAACGGTATGGCAGTACCTACTGTGCTAAATATACCTGCAGCCTGTGAACAAGCAATTTAATTCCAAAGTATATGCAATATGAGTATGAGCACAGGTGTTCACCCAAGACATACTCAACCATGTTCACGGCAGCACTATTCAAAGTAGCTCTGAACTGCAAACGACCCAAATGTCTACCAACTGCAAAATGATGAAATATAGTAAATATTTAAACAACGAAATGCTGCACATCAAGAACAAACAACTATATGCAACATGTATGAATCCCACGAAAAAAATTAGTGAAAAAAGCCAGACATGAGGACCAGCAGATGGCATAATGGCTATGTCACTGGACTCCCATGTAGTCGACTGTGGTTTGGGTCCTGGACCCGGTGGCTTAAACTCACGCCAGACGATGCATGCTTGGGTTGTCGGAAAAGTCATGATGTATTTTTTCTATGCAAAATAAAATGCTCCTCCTGCCCCAGTCACATTTCTAACAAACACACAGGACATCAGACAACACCAAGTGCTGGCCAAGGAGATCGACCGAAACACATCGTTGATGGAATGAAGCAAGTTGGTACAACCCCTGAGAAACGGTATGGCAGTACCTACTGTGCTAAATATACCTGCAGCCTGTGAACAAGCAATTTAATTCCAAAGTATATGCAATATGAGTATGAGCACAGGTGTTCACCCAAGACATACTCAACCATGTTCACGGCAGCACTATTCAAAGTAGCTCTGAACTGCAAACGACCCAAATGTCTACCAACTGCAAAATGATGAAATATAGTAAATATTTAAACAACGAAATGCTGCACATCAAGAACAAACAACTATATGCAACATGTATGAATCCCACGAAAAAAATTAGTGAAAAAAGCCAGACATGAGGACCAGCAGATGGCATAATGGCTATGTCACTGGACTCCCATGTAGTCGACTGTGGTTTGGGTCCTGGACCCGGTGGCTTAAACTCACGCCAGACGATGCATGCCCATGATCCCAAGAGAGGAATGGAGGAGAAGGGATTGTGGCCATACCCCTGAGGGGTGATTTCTTGCGTTCTATCTCTGTCTCTCTCTGTCTTTCTGGTGAGTGCACATGCCCTATAGCAAAAGCCTCTTCAAAAAAAAATAATAAAAAAAAAAAAGAAAAAGAAAAAAGCCAGACATGAATACATATCCATATATTAATTTATATAATGTATCAAAGCAGATAAAAAGAGTAATCTATGGAGTTAAGATGCTAAGATAACTTCGCATTTTTCTATTTCCTACAATTAGCAGATTTCTGAAATTTAAAAAACAAACATAATTTTAAAGGATGTCAAAGTGGCAGCTTAACATACCATATACTGCAACATTTCTTTCTGTTCTGGTTATTAGGTATTTGTGCAACTTCTGCAGATATTCAGGCTCCGGAACAGGACCACTGAAGTTGTGAATGAAGATGGCGGCAGAGCTGTAGGCCTCAAGCAAAGGCCCCAGGAGTCTCTGTAAGAAGGTGATGAACTGCTGGTGCTCCTTGGACTGGCTCACCTGAGTGCAAAAGTAGGACACAGTCACAGGGCAGGGGCGGGAGACACGGCAAGCTGCTAGAAGGCTTCCTCTGGCCAGCCAGTAAGTAACCTGACAGATGGCCACTCACACCAGCCCCACACACGAGCACTCTACCACTCCTCTCACAGACACTCTCTGTTGCAAACAACTGCTGGCTTTAAAACGCATTCTCTACTGCACTCGCTCACTTTCATGGTGTTTGAGGTTTGCACTGCATGAACAGCTGCCTAGAATTTTTCATGATTGAAAGCCATGATGACGCACCCGTTGTCATCACAGGTACTAGCTGTTCCTGAGGCCAGACCCCCAAAGTTTGAAGCTGGGGCTCAAAAGTCACTCGGGTGTGTACCAAGACCAGAGGACAAGACCACCACGACCACTGCAGTCCTGCCTCTGCACCCACTTCCTGCCTCCCCCACACAGCCCTCACACTAGGGAACCACCACAGCAAAGACGTGCCTCACAGCGGGCGGGGCTCGCACTGCACTTTCTAAAACAGGAAGGCTCAGTTAAGCTCCCCTGGAGAGTAAAGAAAAGATCACTGCCCAGTCTTGAAACTAGTAATACCCAAATAGAAAAAGCGAGGGCTTCTCCATGTCATTTGGAATCTCCAAAAGCAGTACCTCCTGACTGACTGTGCATGCGTGTGTGTGTGTACGTGTGTGTGTGTGTGTGTGTGTGTGTGTACACACGCACATGCACTAAGAGTGCTACCACAGTGACAAGAGAATAATTAGGATATTCAGAAAAGATAAGTCGTTATTACTCATTTCTAAAGCTCCAAATTAGACAAAATGGATTTTTTCTAAATTCAATCTTCTAGAAATCCAAATTTCTTCCTGTAATAAGATTTACCTTTCTAGAGATAAAAACACTGTAAAGATAGCTGTCAAATACTTCCACATTGAGCAAAGAGTTTGATGGATGATGAAATACTGGGAGAGATGGCAAGACTGACAGTGACTCAAAAGAGCCACCAGGCCAATGACAGCGCAGTATTAATTTCTCTGCTACCTGGTACAGTACTGACCTGCTTTGGTGGTGACAAGACAAACATACCACCCCATGCAGAGTTGACGCAGATGTGGGGAAGCAGGTATGTCCCTGGGCATTTCATGAGAGGGCAGTGAAAGGCATGGCCTCTGGTATTCATCTTCCTGACTTTCAGACTCCTGTGACCTTTTCCACTTACCAATACCCAGCCTGAACAATTTAATGCAGTTACCTGCATTCAAATAGCCTCAATGTCTATACTAAGTAGAAGGTACCAGAGCTGATAGCAGAGCTTCCAATTATGAATAAATCACCAGAGGCCTAGTGTATCTAGCTGCAATAAAAACCTCAAGTCATCTCTATGATGTCCACCCAAATTCTTCACCAAAGTACCTTCAGGTAGCAATCGCGCTGCTCCTCACCAAAATCACTGTCTTCATCTTCTTCATCGCTTCTCCAAGACAAAGGTTCAGGAAGCTTCTTGTCCCACTGCTGCTCGGCAACACCAGGACTGCTTTCTTCCTGGTCATCTTGCTGTACCAAGAAGACCATCAACAGTAAAGGAAGATGCACAAACCCATAAACAACTGTCCCGATGGACCCAGAAAAAGCAGTCCTCGTCTCAGTCCCTTCCCAATTCTTCATAGCTCAGCTATTCATAACATCGGTCCACTTCCCTTTCCAAAGGTAAAATCATTCAAGAGGGCTAGTAGGTGACACAGTGGCTAAGACACTGGACTCCCACATGGCCCACCACGGTTCGCATCCTGGACCCAGCAGCTTGAAAATCATCCCAGTACATATGTGTGCCTTCTGGGACCAGCAGTTGGCGTAATGGCTATGTCACTGGACTCTCATGTAGTCAACCACGGTTTGAGTCCCAGACCCAGTGGCAAAAACTCATGCTAGGCGTGTATGTGTCCGTGCCCAAGATCCCGAGAGGAGAATGGAGAAGGGATTGTAGCGTGGCCATCCCCCCTGGGGGGTGACTTCTCGCTTTCTGTCTCTTTGTCTCTCTCTGTCTTTCCAGCAAGTGCACATGCCCTATAGCAAAAACCTTTCCAAAAAAAGAAAAAATTATATGCATGCCTTGCAAAATCCCAGGAAGAGAACAGAAGAGAAGGGATTGCGGTGTGGTTCATCCCCCAGGGGGTAATTTCTCACTTTCCCTCTCTGTTTCTCTCAAATGAGTGCACATACCCTATGGCAAAAAACTAAAAAAAAAATAATAATACAATAAAAAATCATTCAGGAAAGAGTAGAGTGAGGGATGGCAGGGAGGAAGCTACCAGACAAATCAATGAAAATATCCTCATACTTTCTAAACTGATGTCTACTTTCCCAGGCCGTAACCTTCAAAATTAACCCAAAATCTCAGAAGAGAAAAATGCTTATGTGCAAGCTTCAAGCACTCTGGTAGGTGTGACATCTCATCCTTAAACGCAAACTTCGAAACATCATGGAACCAAGTCAGTACATGTGTTAGACAACACTTACACCAAAGAAGCCCAATATTAAACAATCCCCAAACCGTTTATTCTTCTCATTCTTATTTTCCTCTACTCCATCTTGACATGATTATGTATCACATGTAATTACTGGTTAAAATAATCGATTTAAACAACTGGTAGAAAAGATAAGAAAATGAAAAGTCTAAATAAACTAAATAAAGGTATATAAAGGAAAGCCATGGGACTGGCCGCATACCCTAGTGGCTACGGAAGCCGAATGCCACATGGCTAACTGTAGTCTGGATACACACGTGCATATGCACCCCAAATCTTGACAGGATGGAGAAATGGAGGAAAAGGGACGGGTATGACCAGGCCATACTGTGGGGTGCTTTCTCACTCTCTCTTTCTGGCAAGTGCATGCGCCCTTCGGAAATTAAAAAAGAAAAAAAAAAAAAAAAAAGGAAAGCTTTTTCTCTTACCTCTGCCACTGTAAGAATGCCATACTGGATAAACCTTCCTACTGTTTCATGGCAAACTTGGTAAAATGTCTGGCAAGGCTGAAAAGAAAAGCCATTTAAGTATAACATCACTGCCCTGTATGTCCTTCTTGAACGGTAACCAGCACTGCACAAGGTAGTGATCAAATACTTCCACTTCCACTCTACCACCTACCTCACTCCAGTGGGTAAGTGCCATGGATGGCTGATGCCCACCAGCTTGTTAAATGCCTGCTCACAAGCAAAGCCCGAGACTCCTCTCCTACCTAACCGCCACAGTGTCTACCGCAGCGCTCCTGAGCACGGCCCTCTCCTCTGGAGGACTACTTAACCGGCCCTGCCACCAGTTTCTTTTCTTTCATAAGATAATTTCTCTGTGAAAGCGATCTTACAATAACTATTGTACACTAAAGCAGTCAATTATGAAACACAATATTTGAGTAGATTGAAAAAGATCCAGGGAAAGGAAGGGGTCAGTCTCTGGAGCCTTATCTGCCTCCACCCACTCTCTTCCTACCATCCAAAGGCTCATGGAAAACAGACACCCTCACAGGACCAATACACCACACAAAGAACTGTGTGAAGGAGGACCCTCCTCGCAGTAGTGGTACTCACAAATGTCCCAAGACACATTCATGTAAGCGGGAGGGGAAACTAGAATTCAAACAAAATACAAATTCTCTGTGTTGGTTTCCTGATGGTTAAAATTTCTTTATTGCTTAATACATATGCCTCATTATAAATGTCTAAAAGTGCCTGGATACAACATGGAGGCTGAACAGTTCTGCAAGGCCTTAATTTCCTCCTTTTAAATTGAGAGGGGGAGAGGAGATGATTTTGAATGCTATTTCTGACTCTTACCATCTGTGGTTCCATTATCTGCAGGTGGCTATGTTAATTATTTACGAACCACTGACCCCATGCGCCCTGTGACTACCCACAGTCAGTGCTCGGTAACGTGGGACTGGAATGTCTGAGAACACTGAGCAACCTGTCCTGTCACGTCCCACAGCTGCAAGCAGGCTTCAGCGGAGCAGTGAGCCAGGCAGCAAACCCAGAGAGTAAATGGCGTAGAGGTTAGATGATCACTGAAGCCCAGGAGAATACAAAGCTTCAATAATGGGCCAAGACTTCTCTAAGAGAAAAACAAGGGTGGTTTCCATTTTCATGAAAATGCTCAAGGAAAAGGGAACAGGCAATATCAAAGAGTCTTTACTCACGAGGGAGATGGTGCCTTCATTGGAGAGCAGATAGCACAGGCTGGCAGCCTTCCGCACCAGCTGCTCCTGGCTCACCAGGCTCGGGGAGGTGCCGGCAGGCCCT